ACACCCACAGACGTACATGCTGGCGAACGCCAGTTCCGCAGGGTAGTCCGCCCAAATTTCCCGGCTGAAGCGGCTGTACTAGCCAATGAGCGTGACCACCTACGCCAGGTCGATCCCGGGGACCCTCGCTTGAGGGATCTTAATTTGGAGATTCGGCAACTGGTAAATCAACACAAGCGGAAAAAGTGGGAAGAGCACTTGAAGGCCTGTAACTTCACCTCTGGTGTGAGTAAGCTGTGGTCAACCGTGAGGTCCTTGTCCAACCCGACGAAGCGTGATGACAGAGNCCCGACGAAGCGTGATGACAGAGGGAAATCTCATTCGAAGTTCACGCTTCGTCGGACCCGAAGAAAAGCGCGAACTATTTCAGTCGGCAATTCACACTTCATCCTTCGGTAGACAAGGCCAAACCTCGAGTGACCAGGAGGCTGCACAAACTGCCCAAAAACAGTGCACCACTTGCTTTCACCAGCGGTGAAGTGAAGGGGGTCATCGGGAAGGCGAAAGCCTCCAAAGCCATTGGACCCGACGGAATCTGTATGCTGATGTTGAAACATTTGGGGCCTGTGGGAGTAGCATACCTCACGGAGGTCCTCAATCTGTCTATGACCACTCTCATCATTCCTGATGTGTGGAAATCAAGGAGAGTGGTCCCACTGCTGAAACCGGGGAAGCCCGCCAACAGAGGAGACTCTTATCGCCCGATAACGCTTCTTTCCCCGGTCGCGAAGACACTTGAGGCCCTGCTGCTCCCATACTTCACCTGCCACCTAACCCCAGCGAAACATCAACCGTCTGCCATTCCACGCAGCTAGAAGACATTGAGGCCTCCTCTCTCCCACAGGGACTGAAGCGATGGTCGGCGAATTATATGAGTGGTCGACAATCATCAGTAATCTTCAGAGATCAAACCTCGAAACCAAGAAGAATAAAACAAGGGGTTCCACAAGGTGGTGTTCTCTCCCCCTTACTTTTTAACTTCTACATCTCGAAACTCCCCCAGCCTCCTGAAGGAGTTTCCCTGATCTCGTACGCTGATGATTGTTCGATTTTGGCGTCTGGGAATGGAATTGATGACCTCTGCTCAAAAGTAAACGGCTATCTCTCCAGCCTTTCTCGCTTCTTCACTGCAAGGAGCCTAACCCTCTCCCCAACGAAATCAACGGCGACCCTCTTCACCACCTGGACGAAGGAGGTC